GACAGACATTGGAGCTGCAACTCCCAAGTTCCATCTCTGGACCCCGTGGGCGGTGACTATAGACATCTTTCCACTCTCAGCTTTGCTTTCCCTTACTCTCCCTTACCCTTGTCCTGTCTTTCCTTTCTCTCCCTTATGCATTTTTCCTAAAGGTTATCTTTATGCCATATTGCTGTAGATGATAACACCCAAAATGGCAACATACCTGTTTACCTTTGAAACAAAATTGTTCTAAAATAAACCCTACATATATAAGTTTTCAAACACCAATTATTTAGTGTCATTTCACTCTAATCCATCCAAAGGGATTTATTAATAAGAACCTGGGTTACCCCCCCCCCCCCTTTTCTGGGGTGGGTTGTAACATTTTTGGCATCACGGACAAGGATCTTTTTGATGTAGTGATCGGTGTAGTCCAAAACTGATAACCGAGGGTGAGTCAAATGGTGACCGCCCTTCATTATGAAATTATAGTGATAATTTTTGTCGTCTCGGTGTGACCCGGGCACATCAGACCTGTTGAAAGGCTTTCTGGTGTAGCCTGGACCTGTTGAAAGGTTCTCTGGTACCTGTTGAAAGGTTTTCCAGGAGAGAGTCAAGCTGACCCTCAGAGGGTTAAGGGGGAGAAAGACATTAACCTGAGCTGGGTTAATGACTGAGTCAAAAGGAATGACACCTCAGGGTGAGTTATATGGGGATTATTCCCTCTTGAAGTCTGGCCTTGGAGTAGGACAACTTCTTGTAGGTGCTGTTTTATGTGTTGTCCTTAAAACAACATAAAAAGACAGATGGGCTATTCAGAAATCCACAAGTGAAGTGATAAGATCTTTTCAAGAGTCAATGAAGGAACTACAGGATCAACTAGAAAAAGAGGCTACTCAGAAATCTACAGGTGAAGTGATAAGATCTTTACAAGAATTAAGAAGGCATTACAGGAGCAATTAGGCAGTTAACTGCTGAGAGTGAAGCAGTTTGGGGGGAAAGGGAAATACAGAACACAAGCACATAATGTGCTTACTAGAGTTAATTAAAGAAATTGCATATGAAACACTTCCCTATCAGAAGACAGTTCTGTTAAAATAAAACTTGTAGTGCAAGCAGTTTGCAAAGAGACGTCATTTGAAAATGTTTTGGTTGGGACTTACTCAAGCGTAGCATTTCAGGAGGGTTTAGAAACCACAAACCAAGCAAGTTCTGTGGGGCTACTGTTACTTCTCTATCCAACACCACGGTTGCCTGTTTGCCAGGAAACTGGTGTCTCCTGTCTGCACTGGTGCCTTCCTCAGTTTTCGCATGCACCTGGGGAGTTCCCAGAGATGGAGCTGCTGGATATGACACTGTTCCCAGTTTGGGAGACGGCAACCCAGGTCAGGACCCAAACCACAGAACCCTGCTGCAAACATCCCAGCACTGCAGAGTCCTTGGGCCTCTGAAGGAAATACTCTCTTTCATCTGCTTGTTCCTTTTTCTCGCGTTGCATTTCTTTTAGACAAAAATGCCAGGGTCGGGTGGGAGCTTTGATTTGGGCTGTTCCTGGGGATGAACTGAGGATAAGCCAGGGAGAAAAGCAATGAAAGTCAAGAGGGTTGCAAGAAGGGGGAGAGTCACAGCCAGAAACTGCAAGCCAGAGCAGCAGAGACTGAGGGACTCCTGCAGAGAGGAGGGAGACAGCAACAAACTTGTACAGCGCTGGAAGAAGCCCTGCTGAGAGGGGACTGGTTAGAGTGATCTGCGACTCATAAACCCCACAAGTGAACTGAAATCCAAAGGGCAAGTGAAGATGCAGAGTGCAAGGGAGATTTAAATATTAAGTCCTCCTTCCTGATCTACTGACTTTGATCTTTCTCTGGAAAATCACTATTCTCATTTATATTCTAAGGCAATACAAATTTGTAGGGTTTTTGTTTGCTTTTGCAGATGTTTTAAGTGGGGCTTTTTTTCCACTAAAAAAAGTCCGGGTTTTTTGGGCAACTCAGTATATGGAGAAAGAAATTACAGAGGTCTGCCTCTAATATGTGGTCAATTCAGGGTATCACCACTGGATTTCTGTCAGGTTTAAAGGTAACCTTGACTAGAAACAAAACAAAATCTTTTTAATCAAAAGACTGTATGATTTTCATTTCCCTGTGAAGTTTAGGACTTCAATTTTTTTCATTTGAATGTGTATCAAAATATAGAATTTCATATAAGATAGAAATCCTATATTTTTTCTTGTTTTCTTAAGAAAGACAGATTTCAAGTGTGCTTCCAGTCTGTTTATTGTCCTTAATTTCTTATTATGGTGGCACATTTCCAATAATACGGCAGCATATGATAACCAAGAAGAGGAACAGGACTTCATTACCAAGTTTCCTGGTGGAGGGAAATGTTAGAGCATGAACTCTTGTTTTACTGGACAGTATAGTGCTCAGGCAAAAGAGAAATTTGCATCTAGCTGGGAAAAAAGACTTCAACAGTTTTTGATCAATAGCAAGAGAGAAAAACATAGTAACCCTTGTATTTAGGAAGTCTGGGAACTCAGACTTCATTCATTCCAATGCTCATCAATTAAAAATTGTTTTATTTTGTCAAGAGCTGGAAAGAAGGTCCAAATTATTGTTGAAGTTGAATGTAACTAAGTAATACTTTCACAACATGTACACACAAGAACTTGGCAGAGTATTCTATATTTCAGGGTGTCTAACTGAGTAAAGCCTTGTCTAAACTAGTGTACCTCCTTCCAGGATGATCTGCAAGTCTAGGCAAGTCTAACTGGGAAGAAAAAGACAAAAGGTGGCCATGAGTAAATAGGATATGACAATGCCTGCACAACAGACAACTACAGATAATAATACCAGGCCAAGGCCAAAAAAACCCCGTGGCTGAGGTTATGTCAGATGGCCTCAGTTTACACTCTGCTGAGAAATGTTGCACCAGTTCTTGCTAGTGAAGCCTCATCTCTGGTGTGGGCTCACTTCAGAACACCGTTTGTCATTCTCCTGCCCACGGCAGTGGCCCAGTTGTAGCCCCGGAGTTGGGGGGGATGTTTGCTGACTGTGCAATGGCACAATTCTCACCACTTGCTGCAAAAGCCATTCATTGTCCTTACAGAAATGTGCCTGTTTGCTTCTCAGAATGGCAACGTGCCATCACTAGCCTGGGCTTGTGATAGGATATTATACTGCATTCCCATACAGCTTCCAGTCAGCTTTGTAACCTAAACCATCATGAAGTTCAGACTGACACAGGGGTTTGAAAGGTTAATTTATCCATTTTGACAGCGTATGTAAATATGTTTATAGTGACTCTTGACTTATGAGTACATTTCTCAAAACAGTTTCAGAAGAATTTATATAGGATCTTCTTGTTGAGTGCTTCAACTCAAGGTCCTATTCTAATACATAAAAAGAAAGGGATTTCTAGATAGATCAGATGCAGAGAGCAACTAATTTCCATCAGTTTTCCAAAATAATAATATTGTAGAAGAGTAATAGGAAGCACAGTAATAGCAACAGAGTGAAATCACTTGCTGAAAGTCCCTGAACAAATATCCCTCTGGCAGAACAAGGAATATTCAAAACTGCCTGACTTGAGTGGACCCACGGTCAGGCTGTCTTGAAAACTGGGAGCTGATATTTCCATCAGTGCTGTATTACAGCTAATACACCTGGCTGAGAAGCTCATTATACTCAGGCCAGTACAACTGTATTGCTTTTAAGTCTCAAACTAATATGTCTTTCCAGCACTGCACTATTCATTGTGGACATGCAGCCTTGGTTTGGCACTAACCCAAGGATTTCTTCATGACACAACATTTTCTTCAAAATATACAAGCCCACAGGAAGCCTGTAGAAGTGCTATAAAGTTCAGTGTATGGGGGTTGAGCCTTACCCACAAGACCATCCATCTTCTGATGATGTACTTGGTTCATTTGATCAGGTACTCAGTGTAGGACAAACCTGTATTTCAGATCAGATGGTAATTCCTTACCATGGTTTCTCCATGTAATAATACCCTAGAGAAAAAAAGTAAGGAAAGAAAAACACCTGGCAACCTTGCTCAATTGCTCGCATATAAGTTTGTAAATGGAGAAAAAGTTTTCTCTCGCTCAAAATAAAAATACTCCTAAAGTACATGTTTTACAAATACAGCCAAGGAAAGTGTAGAAATGAAGTAGAGGAAAGCATGTGCTCAAGAATTTGGATATAATAGTGGCCTTCTGTCCATAAATGGCTAAACAACTATAGGAATAAATTTAAAAGCCAACACAGTGCTATAAATGTAGGATGTAAATGTAAGGAAGTAGTAATGAAATCTCTGGCAAGACTTCACTCATACTGTGCTCAGCAATACCACATCATAAAAATCAGGTTTCTTAAAAATGTGGTGAGCAGGAAAGAGAGTTGATGCTAGGAATAAAAGTTATCAGCTGTGAGAACAAGACCAGAAAAGCCCTTGTTCTGAAACAGTCACAGAAAAGGCAAATAATTGAGACAAAAATGTTAAGTGATGAAAGGGAGTTCACACAATAAAAAATATTTTAGATATATGCAGAGAAATTACAGGCATTGCCCCATTTTTACTAATTCTTCCTTACTTTATTTGCTGTGATAAATAGCACAACTCTCTGCTTAAAACTGGGAGAATTTTACTGATTAATACACTACAGACTATGGAGAGTTTGTGTGCCAGTTCTGCTTCCCACTTGTTCAGTAAAGCTGAGTAGAACTTCTGATTATATAGAAATTCCAAGTGGCTGAAGACTGGGCTAGAAGGGAGCAAATCACCATGAAAAACAAAGTCACAGTGCTCCCTGTGAGTGCAGAAGAGCAGGGACGGTGTCAGTAAAGACATCTCCTGAGAGGAACACAAACTGAACTCAAGTCCAGTTTTCTTTTTTCTTCTATCAAAGTTATTTGGGAGATAGTCGTGACAGTTTTTCTATAAAATGCAGGCAAAAGGCCAAATCTTGATTTCCTTGGCTTTGGCGTGACTGACATATTTGAGTATCTTTTCATTCCTTCACTTCAATTATATGGCAGGACAGCAGAGAACTCTGGAAAAAGGTTTCTTTAACACAAGTTGAAAATTAAGAGGTTATTTTTAGTTTGAAAAAAAATTGTACTCGGTTTATTTTGCATAAAGGTCATATTCACTCACCTGATGACAGTAAAAAAGCCAACAAACATCAGAAATCTCAGACATTAAGGTATGTTTGGCAACTATCATTACTAAAAAGAATAAACTGCCGTATCTTCCATTTTTCTCTCCTTTTCTCTCTTCATTCTCAGTGGCCTTTGTGTCTCATTGTCTCAGAATTTGGCAGGTATTTACATTTTCCACACCTTACAGCACAAGAATATCCCCTTTTATATGGTAGCCAAGCTAATGTTTGGTTGGAAACAAGTTATAGGAAGGAAAAATATTTTAATTGTGCAAAGGGTTTCAAGAATTCAGATACAAAATTTCAGATTTTTAAAGTTCAACTTCAGACCTTTTCAAAACTACAGAGAAAAATCCCACAGAGTAATTTTTAACTGTAAGTAGAACCAGCAAAGAAAGCAAAATAACTTTTATGGCTATCATGTTTAAGAAAGATCATCTCTGGTTTTGTCCCCAGCTAAAGACAGGAACAAAGCAGTGATTTGATTCCCTCTACATTTCAGCCTCAGCAAGATCTTAAAAGAACTTTCATTTTCCCCCACTTAAGCTTTTTTTTTTTCCCCTAATCTGGAAAGGTGACGAAAATGTAAGAGGGTGACAGAACTTTGCAGGAGGAACACAGAGTTCATTGCAAGCAGAGGAACTTCAAAGCTTCCTCAACTGTGCAAAGTGGCTCAAACCTTCAAACCCTGTCCCTTCACTCAAGTGCTTTATGATGACCAGGCTAAATTCCATAATCCAGATGCTTCAACTGCAGAAAATACAGAATGACATGACAAAAAAACTTCAACCAACAAACAAACAACTCACAGATATTTGCCTTCGCTGACAGTTAATGAAAATGCCATTTTATTCTCAAAACTGTAGGGGCAGGAATTGTCAAAAAGAAAAAAATATTACAAAGTGAGCTTTTTAGAAAAGCAGTGCAAGTCATAGCAGTAAAGTAACACAAAAATGGATCCAATTCCCAGTACTCACATATATCTGGAAAATGGTTCGAAAGAGAAAATTCACAGTGCGATTTTTCAAATGTCTCCTGTAGGTTTTCACCAGGAATTTCAGTGTCATTTTATCGTAGAATTCCTTCAACAGGAGGAATTCAACTTGTCACATAAATAATGTTGACTTTAATTACAGTACTGAAAAGTCCAGTTGATTTACACAGAATGAAAAGAAAACCAAAACCAAAAAAAAAAAAAAAAAAAAAAACACAAGCATAATTACCCTTGAGACTATATAAAAATGGCATACTTGATCTAAATTGTGTCTTTTTCTGTGTAAAACTGAAATTGGTCTAAAATGGGTTAATGTGATTGCAGGTAGTAATTTTAAATGATAATCTACAGCTAGATTTCACATGACCCATTTCCCCCATCTTTATATAGTCTTCTTTTTTTAGAAGTATAAGTAAGCTGTAGTTTTGCAGCAGGAAATCTCCTCTACCACAGAGTTCTTCCCAGAGATCTTAAGCACAGCCTGGATCTCATGCTAAGGCTGAGGTTTTGGAAAGACCTGGAGTGAGACCTCTACAGTGAGGTGAATTCCCTGCTCACAGATGATCAGTCAGCTCTTCCAAACTGTTGTGCAGTTTTCCCTTTCTCACCTGGCTCTCCCTAAGCAAGCAAAACCATCCATGTTCTCCCAGGCAACTCCAACTGCTGTTTGGATCTTCGTGTCCCAACTGTCTCGTGCAGCTCCAGAAGACAGAAAGCAACCCCAAAGCTGATCAATGCAGGTGTCACATGTCTGCAGCATGGAAAGGGCCCAGCTGGAGCTGGGGGAGATCTGCCCAGCCCCAAAAGCACAGGGGGTGGAGGCAAAGGGAAGGAGGGAATCGGAAGAGAAGGACACAGTTGGAGTGTCACTGCCTGCTGGGAAAACTCCGCAGTTTGATGAGCAGGGACTTCCATTAAGCCTCAGTTTAAAGCAACCTTGAGGTGGCCCTTTCTGATCTGTGGGGTCCGGCTGAGCCCCAGCTGGCTGCACTTTAGGAAAGGGAGCAGCAAAGAGGGCACCTCTGTGCCTCCCATTGCCAGAGTCTGAAGACACAACTGTTCAGGAAGGAGACTCACTTCTCTCATCTTTTGCCATCCACAACACCCATCCAAAACCAAGAATAGACACAGGGTGAGCTCACTGAAAGATGTGCTCAACAGCCTGGGAGAGGGGAAGAAAAGAAAGTAGCACTAATGAAAATGACAATCAGTTCAATATTGCAGAGCTTAGGGAAGAATTCTGGTTTCATTAGAACAACTCCCAACTTTCCACACAAGCACTTTTGCAATCCTACCTTTGTATCCCCATGAAATCATCTGTCTGGACAAAAGGAACTGGAATGGACAATACAAAGTTGGCCACTGACACTATTTAATTAGCTGGGTCAGTGATGAGAGATGTAGGAGAGCTCTTTCCTCCTCCCTGCTCTATCCTGCTGTCTCCTTAAACTGCCTCTAGAAAGGAAATGGTGGCAATTTTGCATTTAAGAACTTTGTTTAAAACATTTCCTGCTCTCCATCAAAATCAGAGATTATATTATCCTGAAGTGAGATAGATATCATGCAAATATTTGAGAATTTGAAATATTTTTAAATGTTATTTTTTTCACAATGAGTTTTTAAAAAAATACTTTTAATTTTTTTTTCATTTTTAAATTCACATGAAGTGACATAACAGAATGTAAGAGAAGAAAAATGAAGAAGAAACAGAAGACACAGAACAAAAAGAAACCAGTTGGAAAAGAATCCTGGTGGAAAAAAGGGAAAGAAGCAAAGAAGAGAAAAAGGAGAAGGAGAGGAGATGAGAGAGGAGAGAGAGAGAGAGAGAGAAATAAAAGAGAGAAAGAAGAGAGAGAAAAGAGAGAGAGAAAAAGAAGGAGGAGAAAGAGAAGAGAGAATAACAACTGATGTATCCAAAGGACTGAAATTTGACATAAAGGAAAACTTTCAAAACAAGTTTTATGATGTGACTCTCAATGCAATACTAAGCAAAATGGAAAAGCAAATCTGTCTCACAGGGAAAAATCTTGTATATCCAGGTTTGATCTTTTTTCCTAATTAATTCTGACCTAACATCAGTTTGCTGTGTTTACTGAATATTCATTCCTCTAAGGAGGCCTCTTGGCTTCAGTGTTCCTTTCACTACAGATCACAGTCCATGGACAAGAGTATGGAAGATTTCTTTAATAACTCTCACTGCTAATTTCATTCTACTTAAACACACATATCCCAGTGAATGCCACGTGCTTTTCAGCAGGATTTTATGTGTAAATCAGGATAATACGTTTTCAGAGCATTAACTGAAAGAAAGCATGAACTAAAAACCTATTTAACCAACGAGGTATTGCTTTTAAACCACCACAAGATCATAAAAAAGATAATTTCAAAGCTGTAAGTTTTCTAATTGTAATCAACAACAATCTAATGATGAAAGAAAGTCCATCTGAATGGCTGTCATAAACCTGTGCACAGCCTTGCTTATCTTTAAAGATCCTTTCCTTTGTCATTTGGTAGCATTTTCACTACCAAATTTTGCTGTGCAAAATTAAAATGTGGCACTGGAATTAGAAATAACATTGTCTTACTGCTCAGTCTTAAATGAGTAATGAAACTCAGATGCAGTTTTATTATTCTATAACAAAGTCTATTTGTTAATATTAGGTGTAACTTGACAATAAAATTGGAAAAGTATAAAATGTGCTGGAAATGGATCTTTTCCTTATTTCTCAGTAATCTGTCACACAAACTCTGTATTGTATTTACTCACTTTCCTGAAGTCTTTCTGCTGGTTTGGACCCAAACCTAATCCAGCTGTTTGCAAGCAAACTGTTTCAAGTTTAACTCTATTTTTGCGCAGTAAGGTTTTGGGATTTTTCTTTTCTTTGGTTTTGTTTTTCTTTTCCTTTAAAATGGTATGGATGTCACTCTACACTGTTCTTACTCCACAGCTACACCTACACATCTCTCAAGATCAAGAGCTGTTGGGTTCTCACATTACAATTCAAAACTGGCTTAAATTAATTGTTTCCATTGGCATTTATTCAACCAAAGCTAATTCTCCAGGATGGCCATGAAAAGGGAATGCAAAAGGGACACACCTACACCAGCTAGAAATGGAAAAGCTTTCTTGACAAAAAAAACAACAACCAAGCAAAACAAAACCACAGAACAAAACACTCACAGTGTTCAGGGTGTATTTGCTCAGTTCTCTCATTTCCAATTGTTATGAAGATAACAGCCAGAGGGGTTTGGAGCCTCAGTCACTGTAAATCAGCACATTGTAACTGACTTTCTTACAACTAAAGAACTTTGTGGGTTCCGGTTCAATATATTGCCAATGGTTTCTATCACTATTATTAAAAAAGTTCTCTAAGTCGATAGTTCTCTAAGTGCTCCTTGTCAGCACTTCCAACTTCTATTCTAAAACAGGTTACAAAATGCAGCTGAGTCTCTCTATATTCTTGGACTAGATCAGCTGTCCCTGATAGAATACACCACCACTCACAGGAAAAAAATGAAGTACATAATACACCTCTCACCTTCACAATATGTTAACTATACAACTGTTTTCATTCTCTAGTTCCTAAAGTTAACAGTGTGACAAATTGGAAGCCAAAAGGAACAACTTTGGTAGTGAGAACTACTAATGCAAACATATTCTTCTGAACTTCCAGTCCTCAGCTGAGATAAAAAATAACATTTTGTTCAACAGAGTGTTTGTGGAATTGTTACATGCACAGAAAAAGCACTTTTTCATACTCACCTCCTGGAGGCCTGACAATTGTTACAGCATCACTTATCAAGCTGCCCTGGCTGTTGGGTGCATTCACTTGCACTGTGGAGTTAGAAAATGGAATCAGGCCTTCAATGAGTACCCATATATTGAATTCCTTGCTGCTGTAGAACATCTGAGTATCATTTACCACAGAATAATGTGCTTTATCTGTTTGGAAAAAACAAGAAAGTGAAGAGAAGAACAAATGTTAGACCTTGTGTCTGCTACAATTCACTGTCCTTAGGAACTAAGTCTTATTCCTACTCAAAAGACAACTCGCTATTTATACCAATAACACACACACACACGAAATTTTGGCTATTGGGGAGAAAAATATTATTCATAATTTCTCCTGCTTTTGGCAACAGTTTATGGTACTTGTAAATCTTGGAAAATAAACCAACCAACACATGAAGCAACCATGCAGTTGCAGAGCTGACTGCTCTGTACTGCAAACAGGAGCCAGCTCTCAGAAATTACTGATCTTCTAGAAAAGTTGTGGGATAACTGCAAACTCCAAATATTAGTGTTAATTCTTATGCCTATGATACACTGGTAAAAATTTCTGAATTCACTAGAGAAATGCTTACCTTAGGAGTTTATAAGCTAACTCCATTGCATACAGCAGAAAAAGTCCCCTGCAGTAACACCTGCTTTCCAGCATGGCCTGCAGTCCCCTCACAGATAAAAGGATTGGAAGCAATCAGTTTATCAGCTGAAATCATCAGAGGACACCACAGCAACCTGCGTGTCCTTTGCAAACCTTTTAAGATCTCAAACTTAAGATAAGACAATATTCTGTCCCACAAAAATAAAGAAACTCTTTCCAAAATACCCACTAAGACTAGAAAATAAAAAAAATAAATCGTATGACAGGTAACAATATTTTTCAAATCAATTGTCGAGAGTATCACAGAAAGGTGGTTGATAGAAAGAGGACACGAGAAAGATGCTATAGCTCTGGTCCCACGGTAAGGGAAAACTATTGGAAGGTCACTGTGTCTGTGAAACTGCATACGTGACAGAAGAATAGAATAAAGCGGATGGGAAAGCAGAGCAAATAGCAAACAAGTAACTATAAGAGTATGAAACGAAACAGCATTCACAGAGCATTTGCGCAAATATGTTTTAGGTAATCAGAAGCCAATGATGAGCTTAGCTTTTGTAATATGTATGAGGCTAATTATTAGACCTTTATAAGCACAAAGCACGCAGCAATAAAGTTGGATAAGTATGGATCAATTCTTTGGTCTAAAGTGTCTTTATCCCGCCGTCTACAACAATCAATGTAGAGTTCACTCACATATCTGAGAGCAAAGCTGAGCTCATTTAAAGATTATCCTGTATTTTGAACATATAAAGTGCTCTATAAATGATTAATATTATTACTACTGTTCATCATTCCATGGAGAGCTCTCACAGTGAAGTCAAAGGAAATTCTCTGTTATAAACAACAGCAGAATCACACAAGTCTAAGATCACAGGTATGAGAATGACATTAACCAATATATAAGTATTAAAAATACTGTAAGTGAAGTCAGGCATTGTCACAAGTAGCAGACTGAATATTCACATCTGAGCCCTCTACAAAACCTAGATAAGATGGAATTACAAAAACCCCAGAAAATCAATGTTTTAAGTAATTTTTAAAGGGAAACTCCTTGGATTTACATATTTTTATTTCAAGTTTTAAATGAACTGTTAAAACTGAAATGCTATTAAATCTGAAATCGGTTTTCCAATCTTCCATATTTCCAGGATGTGCTCTAACGTGTGTGTGCAGCACATTTCAGTCCTGCTCACAGAACATTTTACCACAGATGAGTAATCTGGATTTGCTTCTAATTTGGGAACTCCTATAAACAATCCCTGATTTACTCACAGTACAAGTCCACACAATTCCATTATTTTGGCGTTCACAGAGTGGCACAAAGGGTGTTTTCAGTGATTCTTCTGGTAACAGATGACAAACTTATTTTCTGAGGTTTTGTGGAGGGGGAGCAGTTTTGTAAAACCTGCCTTGTAGCCCAGTTCCTTGTTGCTCAAATTCTCCCTGGATGACACCGTGCCGCAGTGTAGAGGATTTGCTAGCAAGACAGAGACATATGGATATAGCTAAAGCTATGGATGAGCTGTTAGAGTATAGAACACGGCCTGTCTATGCCTGTGAGAAGATCTGAGATAACGAAGTTACAGTGCCCTTGTACGTGTTAGTTGGCTGGTAAACAAGACACTGTGATTAGCAAAACAAAAAGCAACTGAAAGTCACCTGTGTCAACAAAGGAAGGGAGTGAGAGACAGAATTAACATCTAAGTGTCAACAATGTTAGGGAGTAAAGGATGAAGTCAACATTTAAGCAGAACCAATGATGAGCTTAGCTTTTGCAATATGTATGAGCTAATTATAAAGTGTATATTAAGCTATTAGTAATGATCAATAAACGAAGTTTGCTGATTCTCATATTGAGCATCTCATTCTTCCCTCGTCACGACACCACAGCACCAGAGCACCCGGACAGACTCCAGCAGGGTGAAGCTGGGATGGTTTCATGGCGCCTGATGGATTCACTTTGGATTTCACTGAAGTTTACACAAGCCCCAGATCCCGTTTTAGACACAGCAATGAAGACAAAGCTTCTTCTCCTGCCAGAAGAACAATAACGTTTCACACACTCCACACACAGAATCCTGCAGGAGCAAAGTTCTTTTGTCTGACATCACTCGGATGGACCCAGGCTGCTCAACCAGCACCACAAAAACGCATCCACAGTCCTTGAACTCAGCTCTTCAATTGTACATCAAACCCTCCTTCTGCACTGTGATAAACTGAGAGAATGATCCGAGCTAATTAAGAGAAAACAGTGTAAGGTCAATATGACCTGGAGAGAGAAAAGAAAAACAAATTGTAAAACTTAATTGGGCCCCTATGAAAAGAAAAAAGACAAGTTACCTCCCTTTTACCCTGTGTAGGATTTATAGTGAGAGAATTTTGTTTAGTTAGCTAGATAATAGCACCTTTCTTAAAATTTATAACTTTGCATAGATAACAAGCAAACATCTGTTGAATGTATGACCTAACAATGTGTAATGTTTATACTTATGTATCTAACATGTTTATACTCATGTGCCTAACAATGTGTAATGTTTATACTTATGTATAATGAATATTCATGTAGTAGCTGGAAATAAATGTGGAACAACTGTCTTCTTTGGGTGTGACAGGTGTTGGGAGTTGTTGGACCCCTCCCTGATCACCCAGCGCTGAATTTGCTTTTATCATATAATAAATTCTGATTGGAAATTGCCCGATTGGGTTTCTATTTGTCACATGCACCTTTGTGAAACTGTCCCTGGGGGTGATTTGGGAGCAGATACAACCCAACAAAGCACATTTCTCCTGTCATCCATCACAGTTTCTCCAGTGTCTGCGACTGAGTACTTGTGACCATCACACAACAACCTGGGACTGTCATATGCACCCATTATTTTATTAACAATAAAGTCATTAGTAATGGCCAACTGTATATGTGACATATACATTCTTAAGGTTCTAGTGACATGAAACAATTAAGGACTAAGCTGGCGGTGGAAAAAAGATGCATTTTTTAAACATTTCCCCTCCAATGAGTAGGAAAGTTTAAAAATTAGTGTTGACATGTTGGCACACAGGATAGATTCAAACTTTAAGCATAAAAGTGGGTTGCCTAGTAGCAATTTATATGCCAAATTCATGAGAAAATTAAACTTTTTCTATCTACAGTACAGTTTTAACATGTTAATATTTTGATTTTCATCCACCTGAACCTGGAAGGAAAACATGTGTTTCTTCTGCTGATATTTTTATTCCATTATTAATCTTTCTTCCAATGGCTAATATACTATATTTTAAAAATACCGTTTTGAGTAACAGAATATAAATTAAAAGGATAACACTCTATTCCAAGTTGCCTGGATAACAACATTACTATATACAGTAATTATACAGTTAGTTGTAATATTAAATTCTAGTTATAGCAAAGTGATTACTCAGCAGCTCAACATTTTTCATTGCTTCTAAAAAAAAGCCAAGGACTACTTGCAAGTTTCCTAACCTAAATTTTACACAGACCAAAGGTGTTTTTATCCCTCTTCCCAGCCAAGCAACTTACTGCTGCTGGCAAGGAAAATGTTAGAAGGACATTTTTAAAATGCGGGTCTTGCTGGGGCTGACTTGCAATTTGCAGCTTTGCCACTTCTCACTGCTTCAGCTCAGCTTTCAGTGGGCTGGAAAATGCAAGACACAGAGGTTCAGCCTGACAGACAGTGACACAGTGATAGCCCTGTCACATCATTCCGTGCCATTCATGCCCAGCCTGCCTCAGTGGGGACCCAGTTGGTGAGGAGAAGTGGATGAGGCCTCTCTTTTGCCATTTTTCATGGGTGTTTTTCTCTCCATCCT